CAAGAAGCACAATAACACCCCAATAAGATTGTGTGAGAGAATTTTATAGTCTATAGTATAACTTTAATTTACAATCCACTATTATTATATTCAGTGTAGCTGTGCCTCTTCTGGCTGCAAGTTGGCACACTGAACCAAACACATCCAGATGCAGTGCCTAGAGCCTGATACAAACCATCTGTGTGATAGACCTGAAGAACTGCAGTCTTTTTGGCGCAATGTGAGAGAACAGTCTGAGTCCAAATGGCTGACATAAAAACAGACAGGCATGAGACGTAGCCAGTGAATCCATGTGAAAACTGAAATGATTTTTTTGGTCAACTACAGCAGCAGTGTTCAAACTTCTCAAACCAGATCTTTTTTTATAATAATGAATGCATTATGTAGAATTATTATCTAATCAAACTGCTGAGGTTTTGCTTTTGAATGGTTGTTAATAATGATCAATCTGACAGTTTTTGGTTTTTTTTGTTTTTTTGCTGACATCAACCATCATTGTGGATCAGTTCTAATACATGGCCGAATTCCAAATCTCTCTGATGTTAACGTTATATTTGCTATTTGATGTAGTGAGTACGGTTTTAGAGGTGCTGATAGTTGATATAACAGCCAATATATTTTGTGATAATAAAATTTACTGTAAATCTTTGTCTGATTATGTAGGTTTGGCTCCATTATAGTTGTATTCATTTAGGCTATTTTGCACCTTTTTTAAAGTCATATTTAAAGACAGTAGGTAGACCTAATGGCATTTTTGCATGGTATTCTTGGCTGTAAACAAAGTAAGTAAACTACCGCTTTGCCTTTAGTAGTTAGCTTAAATGCATGTGTGCCATGGTAATGAATTATATTCGTAAATGCAGACCATCTCTATTCTCATTTACATATCAGTGCATGTCCAGTCATATATATACAGCCATTATAGTGACTTTACAGTAGGACAATTTAAGACATGTTTATGTGTGGAGGCTTAGAGCAGCTAACCAGTGGGAAAGAACCAAAAGCAACTTCAGTTGATACATTTGCAACACTCACCGCTCATACAGGCACCTCTCAGATCACAAGTCTTCACAAATAAATGTTTTTAACCCTGATTCAAAACAATTGTCTGTAAAAAGAATATAATCAATCCCACATGTTGACAGCAGCTGTGTGTGTCCTCTGTCTACAACTCCAAAAATCTCCATGGAGTAGGGTGATTTTCAAAAACTGAGACACCCCTGGTTTGGAGTGGTTGGTAATAATAAAAATGTGAAACAAGTGCATAATTAAGGAAAACTGTTATGCACTTGGCCCATTTGACCCATTCGACCATTTGACTTATTCACGACTAACATGAGAGTCAGTATAGTCACATTTTCTTTGTGTTTTGTTCATTTTTAAGCATGCTTTTCTGTATTTTACCTAATAACCATGATCATAGTCATATACAGCTGTTTTATGTCATATCCGTGAGGTTCTGCATCTTATATAACCATTATAGCTATAATCATGATCAAGTGTACACAAAGTATACAGAGATCAGGGCACACTGGGCTCGTCCCTGTGTCTGTGGGCCATAGGAGATGCCCTGCACTGTGCTACAGATAGTTTCAGGGCTATACACTGTGTTACAGATAGTCTCAGGCTCTGCCAAAAACAGAAAGAAGAAAGACTGCGATCTAAACTTTGGTCGAGTTTGATGATAAGGTATGCAAATTTTAATAGGCAGGTCTACAGCCAGTTGTGTGGCAGACACAAATGCTTGCATGTGCTTTTGGGCTTCATGTATTGTACCATCTAGTTCCAGACTATAAATTATTGTTTATAATGTTCCCTCATCACAAATATACCTGAATATGAAGTGACCCCCATCCAAGTTCTTCCTCAGTCCTTGGTTCCGATCATTTGGCCCCCGGCGACCTGCCCCCCGGACTCTTCCACACCCATTGTACTCATTGTGGAGCCCTTCACCTGCGAAGAAACAGAACAATTAAAATTACCAAGTGCAGGCGTATCCTTATCTTCTTATCTTTGATTAATCTTCTTAAATTTGACTATAAATCGGTTAACATTTTAAAGAAATTGCAGTCTAGTTGTAGAGTAGTCTTTGGATTGAATATCCTTACTCCTACTTGAGTTCTATTTTGTTTGTTGTTTGTTCACCCATTGGTCCTTGGTCCAGATGATCCTCTTAGTTGAGGTGGTTATTATTGCCAACCAGCCCACAGCGATCTGCCAGCCAATTGTTATGCCGGTCACTTGAAAAAAAAGAACAATTAAAGTTAAAATATCTTATCATAGTAAACCAGAAACCATGTGCTGGTCTATACTTATCCTCTTATCCTTGTCTAATCTACTTACATTTTACTACAAATTGATTAACATAAAAAGTACTTTTCAGAGTAGTTTTTGAAGTTAATATATTTACTTGAGTGATATTTTGTTAAAAGTAATGGTAGAAAGGGCAGAGCACCATTCTTTGAAAATACCAGATTTTGTTAGTAATATATTTTGTCCTTGCCAATTAGAATAGAATAGAAAGCCTTTATTGTCATTATACAGTATAATGAAATTCAGAGCTGCTCCATCAAAATGCAAGAAATTACATTAACTTAAATGTATAAATCAGATTTTGTGCATATAATTACTGGATTAGTATTTTCTCCAAATATATTTTTTTTAAATTCTAACTTCAGCATTTCTTTGGACCATTACTTTGTTGAGTGAAGTCAAGTTTGCCCTTCGTCCTTGGCCCAGGTGACACTGAAGAAAAAAAAACAAAAACGCTTTTGCCATTTTACAAACTGCATGCCAAGTATGGAGCTGGTATCTGAGAAGAAACAAAACAACTAAAGTTAAACCTTTTTTGTTTTTGGACTGAATATACAGTACTTACTCCTACTTGAGTTTTGTTTTGTTAGAGGTAAGAGTATTCTTATTTCTCTATGTGCAGCACTTTGGAAACAGTTTTTGTTTATGAAATATTCTGTCAATTTCTTTAACTTGAATAGATTACTATGACTGAGATAATAGTTTTGTTTTTTTTTTACTCTATTTCTTTTGATCACTAGTTCGTTGAGTAATATTATTTTGAAGAAAATAATATTATTCAACAAAACGCCTATGGAGTAAGTGTTAATCTCTATTTTACCTCCTGCCATCCTCTGTCCTTGATGTTTGAGGAAATGGCCGTTATTATCACCATCTGGTCCATGGTGAACTGTTACGTGGGCCCTTCCAGGCTAAAGGTAGAGATGGTCACCTGAGAAGAAACAGACTACTTAAAGTTAAACTTGTTTTGTTTTTGGGCTGAATATACTTGTTTGTTTGAAGTAACAATACTCTTACTCTCAGTACTCAATTGTGTGGTCTGTCTTTTGTAAATACCAGATTTTGTTCATTGTTCATTTTATTTTTTAGTTTTTATAATCTTCATCTTTTAGCCAAATTTAAACCAATTTGATCCTTTTCAGACGTTGAGCACATCATGCATACTTTTATTTCATCTCATCTGGACTAGTGCAATCCCCTTTACACTGGAATGAACCAAAATGTAATCTATCATTTGCAGTTAGTTCAGAACTCTGCTGCACGGCTTTTAACAAGGAGCAAAAACAGCATTCCCAATATACACTTCGATTCTTACCTCCTGCCATGCTCTGTCCTTAGTTCAGATGGAAATTGGGGATGTTATATTGCCACCTGGCCCATGGCAAACTGCCATGTGAGTCTTCTATGCCAAAGGTGGAGCTGCTCACCTGAGAAGAAACAGAATAATTAAAGCTAAACCACTTTATCATAGAAACCAAAAATCAGGCCTATCCTTATCCCAACTTTTTATGTAATCTACTCACATGTTACTACAAACTGTGTCTATTATGCCTCATAGGTGGATAACATGTGTTACATTTACCTGGGAAACATTTTAAAGAAAGGTACTTAAAGTACCAAAGTAGTTTTTGGTCTGAATATACTTATGATTACTTGAGTACTGTTACACTAGTACTCAATTTTGTGGCCTCTTCATTGAAAATATACTACTAATGTGTGAATATTGTACTATAAATCTAGTGGGGTTTTTTGTTTGTTTTTTTTCATTGCATATGCAGTCCATGGTTATTGCTCCATTTTCCACAAATTTCAACCTAAAAATGCTGTGCTTTTTTTTTTTTTTTGCCATGGTTTCATACCGCCTGCAAAGATTGACCTCCATCTTTGCTGTAAATAAAGCGCAAGGTCCATTCCGAACAGACAAAGTGGAGACAATATAACAAAGACCAATGTAGAGAATATAATTCAGTTATCAGAGTAAAGTTTGTTAATCTGTTTTTATATTAGTATAAAGTATAAGTATTTATATTAGTACATTTATATTAGTAATGATATCATTAGTATAAAGTATAAGTATTTATATTAGTATTAGTATAAAGTGCGACTGTAAGTGTGTTTGTGTAAAAGTGAACAGACTGTCAAGTGGTATTTCTGGAACATAACAGGAGCTATTTCAAATATTAAATATAGTGAAAAAAATATATATTTAATTACTGACACTTTGCAGCTGATGACATCAAACAAACTACATTACAGCCTACAGCCTGGATAAAAAGTATTTTGCCGAGTGTCAGTAATCATGAGTATGAACAATTCTAACATGCCTTTTTGTCCCACAATGCTTCAGCTTACTTAATTAATAGAATAGTACTGTTAGAGGTAGAGGAACCGAATAAGTTTTTCTTACATTTCAAGGTTTTTATCAGTGGAACTGAATTTCCTGTACAACATTAGGGCCATTGTGCTTAGTTGAAAATTTAAACACCATGCCGAGTTAAGGATACTATGGGCCTATGATGAAATGCTGAAGGACTGTCTGGATCCCAGTGTCTAAATCCCAGTGCTCATATTTACCCTTTTCATAGCACCCCCTGCTGGTGAGGGTTTATTACAACACTAAAAGTTTATGAAGGAAATAAGAATAAGTCACATTCTTTATGACCCAATAATACACAAAGCCAGATATATAATGTACATATAACGTGTTTTATTCATTATTTATTACACATATTTTATACACATTGAAAATTGTGTAATAAACTTGACTTTTCCCCAAAATTACCCAGTTTGCTTTTATGGAAATTACAAGTCACCTCAAAACACACTTCCAACAACAGACTACAGGGTTGCCACTAGCCAAAGCACTAACTTTAGAGTGTGTTGTGTAAGTGGAAGGCTGTGATGTTGTAGCTGCTGCATTAAATCAATGTAATCAATGAGTGCGGTAACCACGACTGCATGTGCGCACATCATTAGAGTGTGCTGTGAGTGCACTAAACTCCTGATCCATACATAGCACACACATGAGACAGGATTGATCCGAGTCCACATGATGGCACCACACGAGATATGAATGCTTTCATTTCATGTTAATGTTTTGGATGGGCCTTGTGTAAACATTAATACATTATAAAAAGGATAAGCAAGTTTCGCTGGTAGAATAAAGTCATGTAATAAAACAATTTAAAACTATTTAAGTGCCAAGTGCTGATTAAGAATAAACAAAAATCTGTTACCCTTTTGATCACTCTCATGTATCAGTATAAAGACTCTCATACATCTCAATCTTGTTAACATATGGCATGAGTAAGTTTAAGTATAAGTTCATTTCCTGAGATTAAACAGTACCCATTAAACCTGACAAAAAAGTTCTGGTAAGTTAGGAGCGCTATCCAGTAAAGTGCCAACAGTTACTTCCTTAATTCCTTTAGATCTGCCACAAGGAAGATGTCAAAGATAGTTAAGTCTGTTATTACAATATCCATTTCATGGAGGTGTTTTATCTACAGTTGTGTTTAAATATATTTTCTTTTACATCCTGCATTACACATTTAAAGTGCACTTTATAGCTTTTTCAATATAGGTAATATCTGATCTGACAAGAAAACAGCCAAGTACACCTGAAAAGTAATTGGTTACAACACTATCTCACCTCATAAACAAATTGCCTGTAAACCCTGATAATATATTTTGATAGTTTCCTCATAGTTTACAATATCTGAAAGTGTTACATGTGCACTACAGTCAGTCTTGAACACTGAAGAATTATTTTCATTATTTTTGACTAAAATGTATTGGTTTATTGAAATCCTGCCTTATAAGTAATAAAAAAAGAATCCAAACTTTGTAAGAGGATGACGCCCACTGATTTGTAAATCTCACCACTGAAATGGCACTGTCAATTAAAATTGGATTAATGTCCCAACCTAAATGGCTGTGAGTGCAGAGCCAGAAGATCCAGGGCCCGACATCAGGCTCGTAGCCACAGAGGATGATCCCTCTCTCTCTGGACCAATAAGACCTTGGTGATGCAGGTTAAGGATGGAGTCTGCAATGATGCGCGCTGTTTTCTTCTGATAGCCTCCAGAGGTCACCATAAGGATAGGAATGCCACGTCTCCTGGCAGCTCTGAAGACCAGCTCATCTCTCTTCACGATCCCCTGGACAAAGTAAAAATAAGTCTTAATCCATTCTTACTGAAGCAGTTCTTGAGTGATTAGTTCTTTCTTGAAACCTTTGTATAGTGAAACAGAAAAATTATGAACATGTAACATAAAATTCACATGCAAATACTTAAATAAATAAATAAATTTAAGTATAAAAAGTTTCAAGAATTCACCTATTCACTCCACCATCTGTTTGAAAAGTACTGACAGTACCCGAGATATCAAAAGGTACAGTATTACTTGAGGGAATACATATTTGACTTGCTGCTTTTCAAAGATTAGGTTTCAAAATAAATGTATTCATACATGTGGTGAAATGGAGAGTCCTCCCAGAGGGTCTCCGTCCAGGATGTCTGTGCCTGCGTTGTAGACAATGATGTCCGGCTGGACCTCGTTCAGAGCTCCTTCACAGTGAAGCTCCACTTTCTGCAGGTACTCCGAATCCTCAGTGCCCCAGTCTAACTCCACTCTCCTCTTTATGGCTCCTGTCAAACAACCACATTAAGAACTTACAATAAATAAATCATAATTTCAGTTATTGTGATATTAACAAGTGGAGATGCCATTTAAGTACACTTATAGCAAACCATGTAAATGTTCTATGAAAAACACAATTATTATTGTTATTAATTTAATTATTGCTTGAAGAACAGTTCTGTTAGAGTAATGCTGGATTTATTACACTGACTGCAAGTGTGGTGTGGTTCGGGACTCGGTCATGTCCTACAAGAGTTCTTATTAAAACCAATGCACCCTGCGATCACTGTGAGTGAGTGTGGGTGAGGTATGGGTGTGCAGAAAGAATCCACAAGGAGTCTATTTTAGCTGGACACCACAAAGGTCTGGTGCAGTCTTCAGGTGATTAGGGGTGTGTTACTGTGGGAACCCATGTGAACAGTTGTCATAGTTGGTGTAACAGGCAATCTGCAAATAACCCGCTTTACGTACATACCGAACCCACCCAGTTGTTAATGTAAACGCAACGTAAGGCTAAGTCATTTATAGTTACAGCTCCCCTCATAAAATATTATATCACATAATAAAATTAACAGAGACTGAGATCTTTGTGAGATTCTCTGCACATTCCTGAATTCTTAGTTAAAAGTTCAAAAGTATGTTCATTTGCAATAATTTGTGTAAATGATAAAGGTTTATGTAGGGACCTATTTGTTTAAGTACAAAACCAAAGAAAATGACAATATATTGTATATGAAGTGAATGTTTCAAAAGAAAGAAAGTCACAGGCAAACAAAGCAGAGCTGGTTAACTGTTATCTTAAACACAGCACAGCATGCAGCCGTTATGTATAGACAATTTTATTAAGTAATAGCCACACAGACAGATGTAGGACAGACAGACTTCCATGGAGAGGATGTGACATTTAGTTTACGGCTGGTTAATGTACATCTTGTCAAATAATCGTCACATCTATTGACACTTCCATTTGTGTAAAAGCTGGTTTTAGTTCTCTAAGCCTCAGTGGGGCATGAATCCTGCAGGATGCAAACAGAGTGGCTGTACTGAGCCAATTAAAGCCTTCTGAATGACATCTGGAGGAGAGTTTGTCTCCGATGCCTATGCAAAATCCATTTTTAAGTGCTTTTAAATAAGAGATGGGCTGATACAGATTTTTTTATTTTTCTGCTGATACCGATGTTTATTTGTTACTTGCCGTTTTAGCAGATGACCGATATCTGCTGATATTGAGGTGAATATTAAAATCCACTGCAAGTCCATGAATGTAGGTACATTTTTAAAAATAAAAATAATTCTCTTGGCTGTAATATAATTAGTTATATTTTGTATAATGATTATCCCTGATCATTAATTAACTTTAGTTGTATTGTTACATATAAAGGAAAGCAAAAGTAAAACAATGATGTGTGTAATCAAATCTTACTTTTGGCATATCCATCACGTGGATAGATGTGGCGGTTGTACATGTCCATGATGAATACGCGCTGATCATCCAGGAAGTCCCGCTCATGTCCATTTCCCTAAAAAGTACAACAGTCAATGAATTCAACGAATCAGCAGAATATATACATTTGAGGGGTCAACAAATTTAATATTTATTGATTAAACGGAAATGTCATTGCTCTGCCTGGAATGTTCCACACTATGACATTAAACAGCTATTTACATTTCCTTACATTTCTTCAATTGCAGGTGTTTTTTATAGTTCAAACATAGAAAAACAGGCATTCTGTGGATGGGGTTGCCTCGCTACAGATCTGACCTGTAATTTGATCGGGTTTGATCTCCATGAAGATAGAAAAGTTTACTGTGAAACATTCCAGACAAAGCAGTAACATTTCCATGGAGAAAAGCATCTTACAGACCCTCCACCAGAAAAGTTACACAATGCACTTTTAAAGGTAATTGCTTCTCTGCTTCACTTAGCTGCCAAAATTTGCAGCACTTTTAAAATGACAAACTTGCTATAAAACACAATTATTTGATTCAGCACAGGCTAAATGAGCAGTAGATGCCCTGAGAAGGCTCTGAGATTCTATAATAAATCAGTTGGTTCTCTGCTGGAGCTCCAGAGCAAGAGTTGTATTAGTCTTATCCTCGGCTGCACACAGCACCATGTTTCACTGCCATTTGTTATTGTCGGCCCAAAGCAGTCACTGGTGCTTTTTTTCTAAAACAAATATCTTCCCTTCGCAAGTTTGGACAGATATATTAAATATTACACAATAAATCAGCACTAAACAATGCATCGTCTAAATGACAGGAAGGTCACAGAGAAAAATGGCACAAGATGTAAAAAGTACAAATAAAACAGCACTGCTCATCATCAGATAGACACTGCTGCAGTTCATATGCTTAATCTGTCTTGTGTGTCAATATTTCTTCTCTAGACAATAAAAAAAATTCACACATATAGAAGGAGATGAGTTTTGAATTGATGTGGTAATGATTTCAAAATGTATATCGTGCTTTCTTTTAAAACCTATAATACATGAATTACTACAATATTTAGACCATTGTGGTAAATGTGTGTAGTTGTGTTAATGTGAAGTATTAGATTACTGTACATTATTATTAGTTTGTATAATGTTTTCTTAAAATAATTTTTTAAAATTTTGACAAAATTGCTCAATCCCTGGAGGTCCACCTGAAATGGAGTGAATAAAACATTGCAGTTTCAACCACAATCTCCCTGTGGAGGTAAGTGCTCTTTAGGCATCATGTTTCAGAGCTGTGATTAGAATTTTACTGCAGACCCCAATAGTTGAGCCAGCTAATGATGTGCTGAGAGGGGCACTTAAGGCCCAGTGCCCAGGTTCTCATGCTGATTTGCCTTTTTAAACAGCTTCATGAATTATTTACTCAGCATGTGTATCAATCGCCTGCTTGTGTCAATAGGTGGAGGTGCATCATTACCAACATGAAAAAAGCTGTATTGCCTGCCTGCATAGCCTTGAGACTGTATCAATGTTAACACAGTCCTCAGGCTAATTGGTCCAGGAAAAATCATTATGTTGGCCATACATAAAGACAAAAGTGTGAGAAAGCAGTTTGAGAAAGTGGTGAGTCATTCGTCTTTAGAGCCGAGGTGAGCTCAGTCCACACTGTGACCTGATTACACAAGTACAAGGCCAATTGTACTGGAAAATATCTATTTACAAACTTTCAAATTACTATTAAGCTGTATTTTAGTGTTAAAAATATAACCGTCAGTCTGTTAAAAAAATATTTAAATTACTAATAAATGTTGTATAATTTTTCTTTCCATCTTGGTATTTAGATAATACTATCCATCCAAATGAAGTCATGACTGGTCCATTAAAGCAGTGTGCTGGTACAGTTCTTACCCCTGGTGTTAGACCAATATGTTCCAGAGCGGAGAGACCCTCTGCTGTGGCCAGCAGAAATATTTCAGATACATTCCACTGAATACGACAATAAAGGCCAATTTAGCCCGCAGGGAGCCACATTGATCGGTGCAGCGGTAAAGGGGTTTATCTTTTCATCGTCAGTCTAAGCAATAGTATCGGCTCACCTGATGAGCATCCAGATCGATGATGGTAGCTGTGGAGATGCCTTCAACTCTCTCAAACAGAAACTATTTGATAAAAGAGAACATGGCTTTATCACAATCACTATTTATACTCTGAGGAAAAACTTTTCATAAACCATTTCAGAATCAGATTGTGTAATATTTATAAGGCTGGCAGATGCATAATTAAATACCTGAGTGATCCAATTTAATTAGGTCTACAAGAATAGCATCTGTATTTCAAAGTTTCAAATAAAAATGACATCAACCATCTGCACTACATGTAAAACACAGCAAATGTCAGGATGATGTAAACAGCCGCTCCATCCTCTCGTTTCCCAGCAACCAGTGAGCCCAGGAGCAGTAAAACCACCAGCATACAGACTCCTGATGAGGCATATTCACCAAGAAGCTCACATCATTCTGAGGACACTGTGCTGTTACTCACAGCAACTATGTTTAAATAAAACATGCAGTTTGCATACATGCTAGGTACACATATGTAAGAGAAAGAAGAACATGGAGGAGACAGGTGAGGAGTGTGTTAGTGTTATCATGTATCCGGTGTGTTGGATCTGTTTTGATCTGTCAAAAAATAGTTTTTTGTTATTGTTGGCTGATGCAGACCCAAAAGTTTCAGAATCTCTACAGTGTCATCCATTTCTTCCATCAGATTCTAGAAGACAATGGCCATCAATAACATCAATGCATACCACGTTGCTGTTCCAAATGTGTGTGTAATGCATGATTTTATGTGGTATAACAACAATGGTGAACTTACTTCTTATTGAGAGCATCATTCTTACCTTGATGGCTAGAGTGATGTCAGCGTAGGCACAGAAGCCCCCTCCTCTATCTCCAGAACAATGGTGGAAACCCCCTCCTTCAAAAACCACAGATACGCACAATAAGTCCACTCATCTCACAAACATGCCATAGCCGTAATATCAGGATACATTCCTCTTTCCAGCGGGCTTTCATTCAGTTTATAGCTATTCATATGAAATAGCAAAAAAGTCCCATGTTCTATTATTACACTTAAGACATAAAAGTATTATTAATTTAAGAGTTTACATATAACCTGTATGACTCTTTATGACCCGTTTTGCATACAGAAAGCAGGACATATTGCTATTTACATTCTATCTATCTTATTAATTGACAAGTACATGCTGTAAGTGGTAATGATGAACACCGGGGAAGCAAAGGAATATAGGCCGGTAGGACTTAAGTACAGGTCATTAAACACATATAAATACCATCTGTTATAAGACTGAATCATCTGTAATAAAACATTAGTAAAAATTAAGGGAGAGTTAAGGTTATAAATGTGATGTGTACCATTAGTGATAAAGATAAAATGACTGTCAAACAGGCAGTGTCCCATTCTGTTATTCTTTTCAATCTTGTTTCAGTTGATCTACCAAGTTACCTCTATTTTAACTGATTTAATATCCCTATTTTAACTGGTTCATTATTCTTACCTTATACACATTTTACACTTATTACACATGTATGATGGTCAACAAATCTTTATTACCAGTGTTATACCTTTATAACCTTTATTACTCCTTTATTATCTTGTATATGTCTAATGAGCACTCTCTACAGACTGGGCCATATGGAGAAAATTTGTATAATGAAATGTACTTTTAGGCTTTCAAAGTGTCTAAAACATACCCACGTTTATGGCCCATCCTCGTTCAACAGCCAGTTTCCCCGCCTGCAAGACAAAAATCAAAACTTAAACTGTACAAATATATCATCCAGTCCTCCAAGATAAAAAACAAAACTTAAAATGTACAAATGCAATCTACCTGGGCTTAAAAATGTGCTTAATTAGGATTAGAACATAAAATACCTGAACTGTATTCATGCCTTAAAAAAACAATCACACACTTAATGAGATAAGGATGTGATATTTTTGTGGTACTCAAAAGTTGGACGTTTTGTAGCATCTGTCAGTTATTATTGTCAGTTTGTTATTTTGATATATTCAGAAGTTTGCTATGTTCTAGTGACTGAATTGTCATATGATATTGTATTCATATTCAAAATAAAGAAAATTAACCAGAGCAGACATGTGAAATGTTAATGGAAACCCATAACACATGCACACACATTAATCAAGATTGTGTCAATTCTTTTGCTATATTTATCCAAGACAATGTATGATAATGGGCATGAAAGACAGTTATTTCTCATCTTACCTGGCTGTGTATAACCAATTTAACATCTTATTCATGCAGTTCTTAGAGACATAATGCATGTACTGTCTTTTTTGTAGAATAGGTTCATTAGTCTAATCCTGCTGTGCATGGCCCTGCATATAAAGTTGCTTATTTTATTGGTCTCTCTTATCTCCTCTAGGTACTGGAGGATTAATACACTTCACAGGAAAAAAAAAAAGTTTTCTGTGCGATTGATGAGCCCACGTAATCAGGAAGACCATTAGTGGAGTGGCTGTGCTGTGTGCGCTACATTCAAGGTTAGAAGACAATCCCTGAAAAGTGACAGCTGCTCCTTTCATGGTGCTTCAAGATTGACTCACTCAACGTGATGTTGTGTAAGGCTGGGGAGAGCAAACGTGGGGTTGAGACTGACTGCAAATATCAATATACCTCACCGACAGATGATAAATAAGGGAGATTAGCATACGCATGAACACAGTATGTTCATGACTTCACTCTGTTTTGTTGTATGAAAACAAGTGGTAAACAACATCAAATTTAAAGTATGATAATCATCCCATTCACAGCAAGCAGCTGTCATTTGGTATAATATTGGTTCATTACTGTGTAAAGAATGTCCCTTTACAAATATCTTTTACACTCCCTGGGTGGTTTGACAGTACAGTATCATCAGAATGCAAGATTTGTAAATTACTTGTCGCATTGTCCTAGACAATTAAAATATTAATTGTAAAAAGACATCACATCTGCATAAAAACTTGATAAAAAGGTCACTTTTGGATGATTGAATCACTTGGTTAATACTGTGTAATGGAAATCCATAGTAGAGGAATCAAAAGGTTAAACAAACATTTGTATTTGTTGTGCTTGACTTACTAGTAGTAAATGTCATGCTGGAGTTGGGCCTTGTAATGGATTGCTTCTGTCACAGCAATTTTTCACAGGAGATGAAGTAAGCGACAAAGCAGCAAATATAAAGTTTGTGGAGAAAACGTTTAACATTTAACTTTAAGACATAAAAAACACAGAACTGGGGAAAGGTATGCAGCGCTGAGGCTTTACTGTACTATATATGCATTAATCAGGCCTTTTGAACTGCATTTAGACATAGCATTAGAATTTCATACTTTGCAGCTCAATATAATGTATAGAAAATGTATGATTATATGGACTGGTTTCTTTAATACTTGAATACAATGACATGTAGTCTGGTTTCCCTGAGTTCAGATGAGTAACTGACAGGTGGATTAGCCAGTCAAGGTCTTGGTCTTTTCCATATTAAAACAACATGGTTGCTTATATGTATTCACAATTTTGTCCTTTCAGGTACCCAGAGGTCATAACAATGTCTCTTGGCTGGCCTCGGGATTCCCTCGAAAGAACTGGAGGAAGTGTGTGTGGAGAGGAAGTCTGGGTATCTCTACTTAGGCTGCTGCCTCCAAAACCCGGCTCCGGATAATGTGGAAGAAAATGGATGGATGGACACAGAGGAGGAGGTGGTGACAAGACTGAGAAATATTTTGGATACAGAGAGAACCAGTCTGGCACCCAGACTACAATTCCAGACCTTATAAAATGCCATGGTTGTCTTTTATAGGTACAGTGTGAAGTTGTTTAAATGAGGCAAAAAACACAGACAGTAGCTGCAATGTTGAGATGCATGAGTGATGGCAAATAACAAATATTAGTATTGTAATCAACTGCCTTACCATTATGGTCCCTCCTGTCTGTGTCCGTAGAGGCTTTAAAACCTTGCGCTGAACCAGGAAATTAGGTAGGAATATAAGGGGAGGGATTTCTGTGATTGTTGCTACCACAAAGGACCACTGAAACAGAAAAAGTAAACAAACATTGTTCATACAGGAGTAGGACTTAAAAGTTATTAAAAAATATTTAGTATAACTTTACATCATATAGACTTTGGGTTAGGTTTGTCTAAAAAAATAATTAACATAAGTAACAAAAATAAAAACCAAGATGTAAAATGGAATAAATTAAATAATGTTTAATTAACAGGAATGTAAAGGTAAATGAACAAAAGACTAAAAATATACAGAAAATAACCTAAACTAAGAAACAGAACAACAAAATAAACAGAGTTTTGTGCCACAAAAGGGGTCACGCAGGCTTACAAAAAAACAAGTGGTAAAACACATTAAACCAAAACACAAGTTCCCCAAATTAAACCACATAAATCCACAAACAGAATCGAGTGACCAAATCAAAAAGGCACAAAACAGAACTAAACTAAACTACACACACACGAAACAAAACAGCATACTGGCCACCAAGGCCAGCAGCCCCGAACAGGTGCTGGTAATCTCCTTAAATAGGGGGGGGTGGCTGCAGGTGAGGTGGGCGTCGACATGCCCCACCAATCACACGAGGACTCCCACAGCAGGAATCCAGGTGTGTCAGCAAACTTATTTAGAACACCCAGAACAAATGACAATCCAAGGCCTGGGGCCATAACATTGTCAATTTTTATCTGTCCATCTAAAGTATTGTATGTGACTAATTAATAATAATTCAATATACTACAACTCTTCTACAGTGCCTCACGAGAAAACATTTAGCTGTTTAACTAAACAAAAATACAAAGGATCCCCAATTGGGTTAATTACCTAATGCAGTAGGTCAGACTATGTGAGTACATGAATCTGTGGATTATGTACTTCCTAGATGGCATGGGCATATTTTAAAATTACATTGACAGCATTCAGGATTATTTTTGGCCAGACAGTGTAGATGTACAGTGTGTACAATCAACTGCATTGTCTTCCAGGCTTACCTTCAGTCTGCTGAGGTAGCGTTTAGTATGGGCCACCAGCAGGTCCTCCTCAGTGGCTTCACGGGCTTCCACAATGCTCTCATCAGTGATGAACTGTTCCTCTAAAACAGAAATCAAAGTGTTATGTTGTACTACAAATACATATGTTACACTATGTGGCCTGTGGGTTTAAAAGTAACAAATTCAGAAAGTAGGCATAAGAGCCATACAGAAGCTAAAAAGCACTCAGATAACATTAAGGCCAGTAGAAGTATACATTTGATTTGCAAAATCATCAATTTCCTCCAGTTATAACAAGAGCTCACTCAGCACTATATTAAATATTTATTTACTGTTAACTTCAAATAGCTTGCAGAAATCAGTAGGCTTTTATGCAGAAAACAGCTTTCAGAGTGAGACTTGACAGCGGCCCCAAGTGGTGCCAGGCAGTGCTCTCCTTGAACCAACTGTGAGCTCCTCTCTTTTCCAGCTTACTCACACTGTACTGCACTGTACTACAGTTAATTTACTGATGGAAAGTTGAAGAAGATGCAATAGGTTTTGTTCATACATAACCACATATAATTCTAAACAATACATTAAGGGTGTGCTATTTTATAGAGCACAACCCTTAAAAGCATTACTGCAAGTAATTAAATGGTATTTATCACACAGACTGATGGGCTGCTAGCACTGTTTGCCACTACAATTACACCTCCATAACTCTGTACAGTGTCTTGTTGTACTGGAGTCTGTGTAGCCTGTGTATATCTATAGACTATTTAGCCTACATACAGTATTTTTTCAAATATTATTATGTCAATAGGCTCAGCAATTGGGCATTTACATTCTGTCTGGAAGTTAATTATATTAAGCCTACTCAGTGTTTATAAAGTGGAACATAATTTTTTAAACCCGACACAAAAACTTGTGTCTCACAATTTAGTGATTTACCTTTTAAGAAGTGAATGACTTTGCCCCATTTCCCTGCATCAAAAGGGTGCAGTTTTTCCATACCCATAAAGGTGATGTTGTAGTCTGAGTGATATACAATGGGTAGACTTGTTTTTGGAGTAAATCCATACAAATCAGTGTGGTGTGGGCTGCAAGCACAAAGACAGTGCGTTCAGTGCAAAACAGCGGTAAGGCATTACAATTACAGATTTGCTTGACATTTGGATTCACTTACCTTCCTTCTCCTTCATTATCTTTCTTGCAAGACATGTTTTTCAGGCATTGCTACTTATGGCATCTGTAAATAATAAACAAACAACCTTTAATTATGTCGCTTACTTATTCTGAAACACGTACAGCTTGTACCTAAATATACAGTTGGATACATTTTATACACACGGACAAAATAAATAAATAAATAAATAAAGCAGCCTACCATTATTCATCAAAATAAAGCTTTAAAGCAACTGCAAACCCACTACTAGAATCCTTACGTACGTCAGTGGCATAAACCAGGGTCCCGCCCCCGCATGCGCAGTCACAAGTCCAAAGGAAACATACAGGAACAGTCAGCGAGCAAACCAGCAATTTTCAACTAATCGAGACATGGAAAGCTGACTTTACACTGGCGAACATACTAAAGCAATGTATAGTTTTGCAAAATACAAGATTAGACACGATAGGAGTGTTTACAGAGATAGAGAGGCTCCAACTGAAAACGACGCAACGCACTCACCTGCTAGTGTCGGCTGTATGACGCACGTCAGTGAGCTGGCCTGGCACTGGACCCAACTGCGACAATCTGCATCTGAGAAACCTGAAATGCGCCCTATCGTTGACACCAGTGTCAAATATTCCGTTAACACGGTGCTCTATGCCCTATCTTTCGTCATTCAGCACCCATACTGTGTCAGCGCAGCTTCTCTCCTTTGGCTTTGCGCTACGTAAAATGCGTAAGTTACAGCGTACGTAGTCCGTGACATGCGCTCATGGATGCACAAAAATCGAATTAAAGAACGCCTATGATCTGCAAAACGAAGATCATTTCAATCTTGTTATCTGCTTTAGGTAAAAGAAGAAGTGGCATCTTGACAGAAAATAAAGTAACTAAAAGGCTTTAGTCTCTTTTAGCCAGACATCACACCACAAGACTTAACCACAAGTTTGAAATCCCTTGATGCTTGTTCTACTAAGTTATTGAGACACAACATCTTGTATTATTAATAATATAAAAAACATCACCAGTCCCAGTCTGAACAATTCAGAAGTGGTGTTGATCAGTCCAAATCTCATTTTGGACCTGTCTGAACTCAGTAGGTCTACACACCAGTCTGGACCAGTTAGAAGCATTTCAATCATAGACCTTACAGTCTATATAACTTCCATAATCTGTGGTCCAAACCAAGTCTGGACTCTGGACTAGTCAACGCTAAACCTAATCCAGTCGAAATAGGTCAGACTGTGAAAGGTACTAGTAAAACATTTTTGCCCAAATTTCATGAAATATGACACAAACAACAAAAATATTTATGCCATAATTTTATTAATTTTTTCATTCTCTTAAAGGGCAATATAAACACTTCAGCATGAATTTTATGATGCATACTTCATGGGTTAGGCTCCATAGACAAAAATATATAATTCTCTTTCACCCAGCCTTCTTGAGGCAAGTAGTAGTGTTGTCATTTTGGATTTGACCACGTGACATGTCAGAGTGATTGCAGTACAAAAATTATGCTTCAGGGTCCAAAGACAAGTATCAAATAGTGAACACCAGAGTAACATTTTTGTTTATATTAAGGGATCTCAGAAAAAAATATCTATCAAATATAACATGGCCAGCCTTGTAGGGTTAGGATATTGCTGTCCAAAGTGCAAAAGGCTATTTATAGTCTCTCAGTTGCTTTTCATTGTGATGCCTTGTCAGAACTCCTGGGGCTTGTGAATTGTGTCCAGCCTGTTTCTGTGGCCACTGCTCCTCACAGCCCATGGGCCCTGCCAAGAGGAGCAGAGCTGGACCCACCACATGGTCCTTACTGCGCTGTCACACTGCCATATCTGACAGTGACTCACACAGCGCCAGACACACTCAGGGACCACGCTGGTTCAGTTGAAAGATACAAGACCAGTATGTGTTTGAGGGGCAGTTTGGGGAATTGTGCACTTAAAAGTATGACAAATTGTGGTGGGGCCTATTGATGCCTGGTTCCATCCATCCATCATTAATGGACAGCAGTTTTTTGGTAGGACATGTGGGCTATTTCTACTCATGTTAATCATGTTTTATTCAGTTTTCAAAACTGTTCCTGGAGCAACCACAAATGTTTTCAGGTCCTGCGAGAACTGTAATCTTTATGGAAATTATATAACATCAGAAGGCAGCACTTTTGCTTGTCCTTTGAGCTCTATAGATACACTATACTTTATTACTATGACAACAAAGAAAACAGGTAACCATTTTAACACTATTGGCAGTTAAAATATGCTTGATGTAATCATTATGAAAGCATACCCAACTGGCACATCCCAGGTTTAATAGATGTGAAGAATAGATCCCATCTCAATTTAACCCTGGGCCAAGTCTAGTCATATTTCCAGAAGGAACCCAATCATTTTAATCAGCTCATCGTGGTTAATGGTTCATTCAACATGAACTATTACACGCAGAAGAAGACACATGTCCCACATCATGGCCAGAGGCAGAACCAGCCACAGATATGAATGGCTCTCATATTTAACCACACTCACAATTAACCAGAGCTGCACTTTCTCATTGTTTAAGGCACTTTTGTAGATTATGGTAAATTGAAGTGATAGGCAATGTGCTTCTGCGCTTTTTGTTACTCTCTAATAAATCATTTCCCTTTGCTGCTTATGGTAGTTATTCCACACTTTATTACAGGCCTCAAACCTAGTGGTAAAGATGCAGAAGTGGACCTGAAATGTCTACCTTGGTGTTTTCGGTTCAGTTCTAACAACTTGGTGAATGTATTTTACTCCCTCGCCAATCTTTTTCTACAAAATAATAAACCTATAAATGTTGTATCTGTGCCTATTACATTTTTTTCTGCTGTATGAAAAGCCTAAGTCTAGGCACAGTGTATCAAGGCTATATTGTCTTATTCTGTGTGGATGTTGCAGTACACATTCTGAGGACAATCCACAATGAGAATCAATGGCAGCAGTCATAATGAAGTAGGCTGGTGCTTTTGGGCTGAGCTGCCGGTGTTCACAATAATCCATAATGTGCTCAGCGCTATGCTAACGGGCCTGTTCCATCCATCAGTCAGTGAACGGTTAGCTCAGGACGTGCTAGTGTGATTGATGTGTTTATGTAGGGAGCCCATAGTGTGACAGATGAGGAGCTCTGTGTGTGGAGCGGAGTCACTCTCCACATGCTCCGGACTACAACATGCTGAATAAGCTGTTTACAGACACACAGTGAGGTCTTGTATTTGTTTACATTAAAATGATCATTCATGATACATTTGTATTTGTTGCAAAATGTGTCTTAGAGTTTGAAAAAAAAAAAAATGTAAACAAGAGTCCTTTAACAGAAAAGTTAAAGGTTAACGTAAACAACCACAAATGTGATCAAACAAGATCATGTAATTTCTTTATCTCTAGAAAATGTCTGCTGAATATGATGTGGTGAAACCAGCCACTTATGGGAATGCTAATGAACAGAATGCTCATGGTCATTTTACTGTTCTCCATCAGCTGAAAATCTGCTATATTCCTTGCTTTCATTTGTTCTGCTCTTGTCAAAACACAGATTGAGTGAGGATCTTGGGAGGGCACTATAATCAACTAACCCTGGACACGCTGTGTAAGAGAAGGGGATGTTTTTTAATTTCAGAGCTTAGGTTCACTTTAATTCACCCACAAATTTGCAAATAACAATAAACAGTGCAAATTAACTTACAGAGTAATTATATTATACTATTATATATTTATACTATTGTATGAATTGGATGTAAATAAGACCTTAGACCAGGAGTGTCCAAACTTTTTTCATCAAGGGTCACATGTCTAAACACAGACCAAGCAGAGGGCTAATCGAGGGCCATAGACTGGTGCTCAGTACAGTGAATAATTTAAATACTTGCATGTTTAACACATTAGAATGAGCCATCAGTCTTTATTCATGCTAAGATTCTTAAAACCACGCACTAAATAGTCAATATTAGCTTTATCAAAGTAGATTTTTAAATTGATGTAAGGTCATTTGGTCACCTGGAAGCCTGAGGGCCAAGAAAAATTTGTTCAAGGGCCGCATTTGGCCCACGAGCCGTACTTTGGACATGCCTGCCTTTGACTGACTTTCTATGAAGGCCACTGCTCTATGTTATCGGGTGGTAACCAGCTATAATTCCATGTATGTACAAGACAGGAGTCATGTCCAACAGTATTTAAAGTGATGTAAGTAAGCTCTTAGTCATTTTTTTAAATAGTATTATTTAAAAAAATATATATATACACACACACACATTAGGTTAAGTTGTAAAATATTCCGACACAATTTTAAGATGTCAATCAGCCAGTCCTCCACACTGATGGTTCTTTGAAGTCTCTGTGATTAGAATTTCATGCCACAGAGGAATCTGGTTTCGTAGTGAACAATAGTTTTGGGTCAAAAAACTAACCCAAAACTATTGTTCATTCTGAAACCAGACTATTCTGTGGAATGAAATTCTAATCACACAGGCATCAAAGAACAGAGAGAGGGACCACTGTGACTACTGCCCTTTATGGTAATGTGTCCGAAGTGTGGGCTCCGAGCTAGACCTCTCTTTCACATCATTGAAACTCAAGGATCAAACATGTTTTCATCATGTTCAAAACCAAAGCCTTTCTTTCTCTGATCCAATGACTACAGGATATAAAGTTTCAGGTAAATGTCAATTGAGATGTCTCCATCTTATCAAACTACCCTCAAGTAGAGCTTAACCGGTCATTCAGAATAATTAGTCTAATTTCTGTAGATTTCTGCAAGCAATAAACACTCTTTTATATTTTATTATGTGTATTTCATAACTACAGCAGTGAAAGAGGGTGAAGTGTCTTGCCCAAGGACACAAAGACAGTATGCACTTTGAAAGAGCCATTGCTGCTCAACTACACCAACCAAATTAACCAGACTAACCAAACCCAACCCTGCTTAGCTTTTGAGATCAGATAAGATGGGGTGTGTGCTTCATTGTCATTGGTGGGAAGAGAACCACAAACAGAGTTTACACGCCCTGACACTTGATATTATTTGTAGCAGTGCCTTGTATGTTGCATTCTATCATGAAAATAAGGTGTTACTCAACACTGATATGTACTGTGTAATTCATTGGGGTTTATTTATAGCAACACTGTTCTTTTGTGTCTCTAAATGCAGTATTAAGCAACCTTTTTTACATAATAATAATTGAACTGGGTTGAAAAGCTAATTTGTTATTTAAATTAATCATAATCAGGAATATGCTAACATAGTTCAGAGAACTCACTGCACAACAGTCATCAGTTTGCTCCATGAGTTAAAGGATTCTAATTGAATCCAATTAGAAATGTGATGTTCATGACTGAGTGGTTCTTATCAATAGCTCTTTATAGTGATTAGTTCAAACCGGATCACATTTTTCTGATTGTTTTTTTTTTTTGTTTTTTTAACATTATTGAACACACAGTT